GATGGATGGATGGATGGATGGATGAAACATCAAGTTTCTCAGTGGATCTGTGCTCGACAATGCAGCCTAGGTGGAGTAGTCGAACACAGATCCACTGATCCTGTAACACAGCACAACTTCAGAAGACAGGTTGATTTGAAAAATTTGCAGTGTTCAATACATGTGTGTATTGAACAGTTCAGTACAGATACATGTATTTTTGCACCTCTAGAAAATATTTTTATTACTGCTCGACATCAAAGGCAATATGATTTTTTGGTTATGTCTGTTTGTAGCATTAGAAAAATAATTATTGAATTTTAACTAAACTCCCAGGAATGAATTACTGGARGCACATCTACAGCTGATSAAAGGAGATGAAAAGATATTTGAGTCTCTTTTTAATAAAGATGCTCTTCAGGAATCAATGACTCTCCCAGTCCGCTTCTTCCTSTGAGTTKACCTTCACAATAAAAGCCTATTCTGTTGTGAAAACAACTGTAAATACATTATATTAGTAGCAGAGAGTCATCCTTAACACATAATAATAGCACATCTCTCAAGATCTCACATCACAAGAGTTATCCACAAAGTTACTTTAACTCCAGCCTCAAAAGATAATTTCMTTTTAAATTACCAGCATGAAAGGCGACATGCATTCCTTCAAGAAATGCTAGGCTTTTATTTTTATATGAGGTGTCCAATCACAGCATAACTTCTGATATATAATTTTATCATAATTAACTTTAAGAAGGGTGATTTTAGAGTTTTTTGTAGAGGTGCTGCAGGATTGTTGCACATGGGGGTGCAGAAATGCCAGGTTTATAAGGAACACCAGGGTTTCCCCCTTGTATTACAAATCTTTTACCTTTTAATCAGCGCTGGAGTCGACGCTGCTCGGTATGAAAGCAGTGTTTGTGTCGAGGCCGGTGTGAGCGGTGTCGGGGCTCGGCAGCTGTCTGTGTGTACTTTACGAGCTGGTTCTGTTTGTTCTGTAGACACAGGTGGGGTCAGGAGGGTGTCAGCTTTGTCTTCTGTCCCCCTCCACGGTTATGTGTGTGTGTGTGTGTGTGTGTGAGAAAGAGAGAGGGCAGGCGGGAGGGGCTAAGGGACTAACAGACCCGTGTGGACAGGTGGAGGATTCTCACTATAGAGGCAGCAGATGTATTGTACCTGTCCTGTTCTCTGTCTCTCATTGTCTAGTTCTTTCTGACGGATGTGTGTTTATCCGATGGGTGGCGGTGCGCATTTAAGCTGAAAAAGTCAAGCAGAAAGTTGCTGCCCACAGACCTAAATCGATTTGTCCAATTTGCAGATTGAAACAAAAAACTTTGGTTAAAAAGCGAGAACGTGTCACGTTCATTTTAAAGGTAAAGCAGGTGGCTGTGGTCATCACTTGCTAATTTGGTGTCAGTTTTCTTARCTTTCAGGTGTATTTTGACCACAGGTTGCACCTGTTCTATCATTCTGTGAGGTTTATATTTTGTTTGTTTGTTTGTTTGTTTTTTTGCGTGTGAATGAATGTGAATTGAAACAAGTTCTTTGAGAAAGATTCCTTCATTGGAGCAAAGATGCAAAACGAATCAGATCAAGAAGTCGTTGCAAAGTCAAATTCATCAACTTTATTTGCACAATCTTTCTGATCTTAATGGTTAATGGGGGATAAGATTCAAAATTAACTATAGAAATGCTTTTTATTTAAACATTTTATGAATGCTTTGATCATCAAAACGTAAAAATCACATGACATCAAGCAAACAAACTAWCCTTTTTGTTGTATTTTTTTATTTAACATTAGCTTTAAACCATTTAAGGTTTTTTTTTAACTGTTTTGAGCATTGTGTCTATAAAAAGCTGAACTTGTCAGTTAAACATTAGATGAGAGCTTAATAAGAATGTTGCTGGTAACGGCTGCAGGAAAATATTTTACGGCTGCTAAAACAAAGAAAACAGAAGCTGGATGCTTGTTGATAACAGACTCACACCTTCCATCTGTCCGTCTTCACATGAGTCCACTAACCGGACCCTTTATGGCACCTGGACTCTGAGAAAACGGCTGTGAATGCTGAGTCATCGTTCACGTCGCTGTTGGCCTCTTTAGAGTTTCTTCTGTTCGTTTTTTTCTTACAACTTCAACACATTTTCATCCAAACGTTCYGCTCATTCAGGGGTTKGGTGCTGAAACCTTTGGAGTTTTTAGCTTTGATGTGTTTGAAAATGTTAAATGTTAACTTGTTTCATCAAAAATAATTAGTTTATTTTTGCTGAATTTAGCTTTGTAGCTTTTGTTTTGCTAGGTTTAGCTGCTGTTTTGCTAATTTAAAGTTTTAGTTTAAGCTTTAAGGTGCAATCTTGGAAAAGTTATCAGTTTTACCTTTTGGTTACTGTTTTTGCTAAACATAACTTTTAGCTGTTTTGCTAATTTTGGCTATTATTTGTCTGGGTGTACCTTTCAGCTATGTTTTGCAAATTTAAACTTTTATGTACATTTTTCCCCTAATTTTAGCCATTAGCTATAAATTAGATAATTTTATATTTTCGCTACTGATTAGCTTCTTTTAGGTTTTGGGTATAGTTTTACCAAATTTATCTTTTAGCCACAGTTGTTTTTACTATGTTGCTGATTTTAGCTACCATTTGGATAATTTTAGCTTTTAGCTATAAGGTTGTGCTCATTTTTAGTGTGTTTTTTGCTAGATTTAGCTATTTTGACTGCTGTTTTACTGTCTTAGCTTTAAGCCATGGTTTTAGCATTTAGCTACTGATTTGCAATTTTAGCTTCTGTTCTGCTTGTGTTTACTTCAACAATTAAGTTTCAGCTTCCTCAAGAATTTTTATTGAAATATTTCAGCACTATATTTTTTCAGTTTGTGCTAAGTTTATTTTTAAATGTTGACTTATCGACAGACACATGTTTTACATTTCGTTTTCTCTTAAAACTAATGATTAAAAAACTGTTAAATGAGTAAATAAGTGAATAAAGTCTGCAGAGTTGCTGGTTGTTTGAGGCTGTCCTGATATGAGGAAACAGCGGCCCCTACGGGCAGACAGCGGAACAACAGCACAGCTCTGTTCTTCTCATTAGGTTTTAATTGGCGCCGTTTGAGTCAGAAAAAAACCAAAACAGGACGGGTTTAGTTTTAAAGAATGCATTCCAGTCGACCTAAAATATCATCTGTGTAATCTAGATTATTTAATGAGGAATATTTGCTAATAATAATAAGAAAATAAGAGTGCTTTGAAACAAAATTCTGGGATAAAGTTTGAGCTTTTGGTGTTTTGTGACGTTTTACAACATTCAGTCCAAGGAGAGAGAGAGAGAGAGAGAGAGAGAGAGAGAGAGAGAGAGAGAGAGAGAGA